TTGTTATTTGTAGGTACTAGAGTAGGTGTTTCATTATCTTGAACTTCTTTATGTAATTCGAGGTCAGGCTTATATATGATAGGATCTAACGACGGGAAGGAATCTCTCCCTTGAGTTATACCCATAGAATCTTTAAAAGATTACTATCAAATAAGAATTTAGGCTTTAGATTATATAAGAGATACCCTTTATTATATTAGTTCCAGGATAGCCTAAGAAAACACAAGGATCAGATTTGGTTCTAATTTATCAATATCATGCAATCTAGAAGCAAAGGAAAGGCAATCGAAAATTTTTAAATGACTTAAGTCAGGTATAGGATTATAAATAATTTCAAAAGGAGTTTTATACTGTAAAATCTTGCTGAGGGTTCTATTAATAGGATAAACAGCAATTTTAATGAACTCTCCCTAGAATTTTAAAGGAACCCTAGATTGAAAATTAAACTTTAAGTAACCTCTAATATATGCCTGTATTTATGCTCAACTATCCCATTTTGTTCAGGGGTGTAGGGACATGAAGTTTAGTGAATAATGCCCTTTTCTTCAAATAAAAAATGATTTTCATGGTTAAGAAACTCAGTACCATTGTCACTTCATATAATCTTTACATTGCTATTAAATTGATTTCAACAAGAGCCAAAAAAAATGTTTTTATATGTCCTGAAAGTTCACTCTTATGTTTGAGCAATATTACCCAAGTTCCATGTGAAAAATCATCTACAATAGTTAAAAAATATTGAATGTGTCAGAATTTTATAAGGTTCCCATACATCCATGTGCAGCAAATAGAAACAAGTAAATGATTTTTTATTGCTTTTCATTAAAGGAAGGTGAGGCTGTGTAGCCTAAACACAAACATCACAGGTTTTGGAATTAAAATTGACAATATTATTGTTAAGAGTATGAAGATGCTTAATAGCATAGAAAGAATCATGGCCTAACATATGGTGCCATTTCAAACTTTGAGACACACACTCATTGTTACAGATATCAAGAAAAGATTCATTTTTCATATTCAAGTCTCTCTTTAAAAAATACAATCTATTATGGAGCTTGCCAATGTCTATAATCGTCCTATTGCTGATGTCCTACACAACATAGATTTTAGAATAGAATGAAACAATACAAGATGCATCTCCAGTTAACTGAGATATAGAAATTAAGTTAAAACATAAACTAGGAGCGTACAAAACATCATTTAAAGTGAGGTGGTCTTTAATAGAAAAAACATGGGTAACAGTTAAAAGTTGTCATTTAAAACCCTAGATTGAAATTTGTCAGAGGAAAAAGACAAGCTCGGCAAAATCAGAATCAGTTTGTGATATTGGCTATGTTGATGGCGACGCTAAGAAAATCACTGGTCACTTGTAGTGTTGAGAGAAGAGATGCTTCTTCCTTAAAGGAAAGGGGAATTCATACCCTCATTGTTGCGTCTAGTGAATGATCTATTGCCTTTTATTCTGTCCCTTCCTGCATCTCTAACCTCATTAGTCTACCTTTATAACAACCTAAAATCTTAGATAAAATAGTTACAATAATTTTACAAGAACAAAGACTTCCCACATTATTTTCACAAATACTTTTCCAAAAATCTATCAAATAAAAACAATAGCATCCTAATAATAATCATCACTAGACTTAAGGTATTTGAAACCCAATAAACAATTCACAACAAGCCCAACAATTTAACAATATGAAACTTAAATAGATTCCAGTATAAACTAAATAAATACTATCACATAAATTGGGCTTAGCCCATAACATTTTACACTTCAACAATTCATGTTGAATATCAAATTTAATAATCTTTTCTCAAATGACGTACCTCAAAAGAAAATTTGCAAATAATCAACTACTCAAATTATTTTATTATAAAAATCACAATCCAAAGTCATGGCAACAGAACAATAAAATTACAACCACATGTGCCAAGCCAAACAAAACAAGACGTTTGAGCTTACTATTCTAGCACCTTCCCCGCAAGTCTACCGGACAGTTCACCTGAAAATAGCAAGAGGTAACATATGAGATCTAACATTTCAATGACAATTAAATATTCTAACATACATCAATATATCATTTGAAACTAGTTTGCAAGCATATTCATAAACATAAGTGCAATTTTTGCAAACCTTCCATAAAGAGTTCACAAAATAGGGAATGAGTTTTTCCAATCAACAGTGATATAGTTCAAAATATAATTTAACAAGTAATACTTAACCCTATCTCACCCTTATATCTCACCCTGTTTGCACTTTATTTCTACTAGATTGAGAATACACCTGATTAAAAGTATATTGCCTTCAAACTAAGACTCCTCTCCTTAAAAGGAGGTGCCTATTGTCCCAAACCTGTACTAAGGAAATAGGGAACTATAGAGAGAAGCCAACCACTAAGCGTTTAGTTGAGGCATACCATATGGCAATTAGAATCATAAATCTCAACCCTAATGTATCAATCATATCACCAACAACCTTATGGCAATTAGAATCATAAATCTCAACCCTAATGTATCAATCATATCACCAACGACCTTATTTCCTCTTTTGCATCGCATATCAAAAATAAGTCAAAAGTTAAGCATGTTTGAAAAAGGATAAAAAATTATTTTATACAGTTCAAATAAACTCAAGCATGTGTGAAAAGAATCATAATTATGTCAAAAGACAATTCTTCAAATATCCATCATTTACAATCACTAGCTTGCTTTAGATGAACAAACTACTATATAATTGATTTTAAAGAGCAACAAGCATGCTAGAAAATTTCAAACATTTTCTTAGAAAAAAAACGATAAACAAGGCCTTAATGGGCATAACAACATTCCCACGCAGTTATATATATATATATATCCATAAATACAATAATAAAATATGTATTAACCAGTTGTTGTTGATTTGTCATTTATTTGATTTAAAGGATTAATTGGATCAGACTAAGAGCTAGTTTTCAATCTAATTGATTGAACTAGTTAGTCTGATCTAGATTTTAAAACTATTTTCTCTAGGGATTTTATAAATTTTCTTATATTTACAACATAACATTTTAAACCTATTAATTTAAAGAGTTAAAAGATAAATTTGTCTCGAAAGTTCCACTAGGTATAACCAGTATTCTTAACTTTTGATTGGTGCAATGTCATCTTATAATAATGTTTGACCAACATTGACTGTTATTTTGAGTATAAAAGGATAATTTTGCCCTGGAATTTTGTATAAAGGAGTTATCTATACCCTAAACTTTTGATTGACGCAATATTTTTGGGTATTAACATTCAAATTAAAGAAGGATTCAACAACTTGTTATAATTCAAAATCAAAAAAAGATCTTAGGTTGAATTACATTGAATGCCTCTAAGTTTAAATCCAATTTAGTCTATTTATGTTGCCCACGGGAAGGTTTGAACAAGTTTGTATTTAAGTATATGAAAGTTGAGATATGCTCATAGGAGAGTAGGCAAAATAAGGGCAAGTATAGACTTCAAAAGAAAGTTTGTGGAGTACTTAGGGAATCCTAAACTTGGAAGAATTGATCCTAAAAAGACATCCAGTGCTTATCTGAAAAGTCCTAATGATTTGGTCCTAAAAAAGGATTAACTATTTGTTTTAGTAATTAAACATCATTTCACCTAAAATTACAGTAATTGAACATTATTCCTCCATTCATTTTCCCCGCTTTCATTTATATGTCCATGATATGTCATCTCAAGTATATGAATCACACTCCTTGTTCCTCTCGGTAGATTTTGTAAAAAACATAATATCAATACATTTTTTTTTGGTAATAAACATAATGTCAATACATTTAACTGAAAATGCTATGTTGAAATTATTATGAAGGTATATTAAAAAAAAGGATAAGGATACAAATTTAGTTACAAACTATTTTTAAAAATTATTGAATTATCTATATTATGAGGTGGTGCAAAAAAAAATTATCAACTAATTAAATCGCAGCAACTTGCACCAACCATTAATTTGTCACTGACGGATGTTTTCTCTTTCACTCTCTCACTCTTTCTCCTTACCAATCCTATCTCCTTCTTAACTGATGAAACATCTCTCAGTATGCCACTTGTCACTAAATCCAACCTTTCTACTAGCAACCTTACTCATGCTTCCTATCTCCTTCATTTCGGTGACCTCTCCTTTATCTTCATTGCTCCGTACTCTCCCTCCATCGTCGCCAATGAGAGCTTGCAACCCACCTCCATTGCCTTTATCCCCACCTTTGACGGTGAGTTTTGTCTTGCTTTCGTCACCTTCCATGGCCTAGTAGTTTGCGCCATTGCACTTGAAGTCAAGAATGCAGAAGCCACAACAATCCATCTCAAGAGTCTAACTTGAACCCTAGTTGTTAGTTCTTACCCATCTTTGAACATGTGGATGACCTCCCATCCTACGCTTCACTGGATTATGGGATTCATAGGCTTGACCATGCAGCCAATAACATGCCAGAGCTGGCTCTGGCTGTGAACTACGTGCATGGCCACTTGGTTGAAGCCACCAGATAGTAGGTGTCTATTCACTTGTAGGGATAGCTTGTTTGGTCAGCTTGGACATAGTGATCACACCTCTCACTACTCACCTATTAGAGTGTCTTGCTTTGTTGATCACTTTGTTGCTCAAATAGAGTTGAAAGACTAATCAATTACTTATAGATGTTCTTTAAATAAATACATATATTGTTTTTTTCTTCGTGATTTTTGTTGTATCAGTGGATGGGGATCTTTACATGTGGAAAGAGGATCTAAAGGTGTTGCAGATGCTCACTCTCCTCAAGAAAATTTTGGATCCTTGAATTAGCTAGAGTCGTGCTAGATCTCATGATTTAGAGTATTTATAGTCATATTTATATTTATAAAAATACAATTTTTAGACCCCAAAGGACATAAAAATATCATAGAGCAATCAAACGTAATCCAAATTTATTGGAAAGCTAACCCTACGAGATAGACATTTAGAATAAATTAAATATAATGAAAACCATTTTCAAACCACAAAGTACATAGAAATGGCAGTAAGTATTCGAACTATAAATCTAAATTCGGAAATATGACCGTAGGAGATGGACGATGAGGAGGAAAACCACTTTCCTCCAGCTTGATGGCTGAATCTTCCTCTATGATTGCCACCACCTCCGCCACCTCTGAAACTCTTAGCTTCTACAGAAGCTGCTGACACTGCAGCCGTTACTGTTAGAGCTAAAGCAAGCAATGTGACTCCTTCCATTTCCTGAGCAGCTTCATCGTATTCTCTCTTGCAACAAAAAAGACTTTTTTAGAAAACACTGTCAATAAACGTCAAGTACATTAATTAAGAATTAAAAAAATCTTCTAAAAGACGCTTTTTAAATAAGGATTGGAGAGGATACATAATATAAATTCTTGTAATGTTAATGTTATTTCCTATCATTTTTTACAACTAGTGATTGAGGTTAATTTTTGTTAACAAATAGGAATTATATTATTATTTTTAAAATTTAAAATAAAATATTACATTAAAAATAAGTTTAGAGTTCCAACTCTAGACATATAATTTAGAAGTCAATTATCTCTTTTTATCTAATTTTTTTAATTAGAACAATATTATGGTACTTATATATTTAAATGAATGAACCCTTAGAACTCGATATAAAATAAAGGCTAAAATGCGTAAAACACTCATGAATTTTGAGAAGCTATATATAACTACTCTCACATTTAAAAGTTTAAAATTAATTCCCTAATTTTTAATTTTATTTTTCAAAACCCTCTATTATTAATTATGTTATTTTTTTCATGAGGGTTAAAATGTCATTCAACTGAAAGTTATTAAACAAAAATATTATATTGTAGAACTATGGCTAATTAATTTTTTATATTTTTTGGATAGTTGAGATATTAATAATGCCGAAAAAAATGTTATTATTACCATATAAAATTTTAAATATTTACTTTTATGTGAGTTTTATCTATTTTTTGTTTTTAATGGCGCATAGTTTTCTAGTATTAAAACATAAATTATTCTAACATGATACTATTTAAAATTTTAAATATTTATCTATGTGCATGAAATCAATCTAACATGAAAATATAAATAAAAATTTATCTTTTAAAACAATAAATCATACATCATTGATGCCAAAACAACATGAATAAAACTAATATAAACATAAATATTTTAAATTTTAGACAGTGATAATAATATTTTTTTTATATCAATGTCTCAACTATTCAAAAAATAGAAAAAATTTATTATAAATAGTTATATAATATAATATTTTTGTTTAATAACATTTTAACTCTCATGTTGAAAAATAAAATTAGAGGTTAGAAGAGTTAATTTTAAACTTTTAAAGATAAGAGAAGTTATTTATGATTGTTTTAAAATTTAGGAAGGTTTTAATATTTTAACTTACAATAAATAATGAAAATAGTTCATGTTTATGAAAATAATAAAAGATAACTGCAATTTATGGGTGGCTGGGTGGGCCAGGGTCTGGGTGCGAGGCTGCCATTTCGAATCCGTGTGGCTGGGGAAAGGAAAGCAAAGCAATTTCACTGTCAAGACTCAAGCCACGAGTTCGATTAGCGAAAACAAATGCAATTGAGTAATGATAAACCCCCCCCCCCCCCCAAAAAAAAAGTAATGGTAACAAAAAATAATAATATTTATATTTATATTTATTTATTTATTTTTATAAGCACAAAAAACTTGGCCCTATTTGTAAAAATACTGTTATGAATATCAAAGAATTATGTGAATTTTATATTTTTAGCTTCTTTAATATCTTTTGATTTCTTTAATATTTTTTTATTATTATTTTATATTTTTTTATTTGATTTAGTTGGTTATATCCGTGTTTTTATAAAAAAATATCTTAATTGTATTCAACACATTAAAATAAAAAACTATCAATTATCTCATTCTCTTATTATGTCCCTTTTGATATTTTTCTAGATAGCTAGTTGCCTTTAGAATTGTTGAATTATAGATTAATGCTCATGTCAATGAACATCTCTAATAGGGATGGCCATATATTCACTTGAATATTGAGAAATCTCTATCATATATATATATATATATACACACTCTTGTTTATTTTATATAGTATTTATTTATTGAACTTCAGTTATTTTCTTCCTCCATCAATTAATCAAATAATTACATATTGTGTGATACATTTAGAAGTATGAGGAACAACTTAATTTTTAGAAAAGTTGATCCTGAAACTTATCCACACATAATATAGAGTGGATCCTAAAATTATCTATATAAAATATAGAGAAAATTTCATTTAAGAATCTAGGAAGAAACATATTTTTTGATGGGTCCCTAAAAATTTTAAAAGTTTAATTCAGTCCTCAGAAATTAAATTAAAAATAAGTTGAATGTAAAAAAAATAAAAATACCCTCAATTCAAATATTAAAAAAAGATGCCAACCACAGTTGCTGGAGCACCACTGTCAGTAACCGAAGCCTACTGATGATAGTAGCCACTGGATCTCCATTGTCAAAGCTTCGGCAGCAGGTTGGACCACTACCGATGGTGGCTGGAGAATTGTAAAGAATTGCATTCTTCAAAGATAGCTAAGGTGAATGTAGAACCCATTAACTCCTTGGCTCACCAAAAAATTTTGAATTACCAAGCCATTCAACTCATTCAACTATATAATACATAAAATTATATATATAATATATATATATACATATAAATTTTATTTTTAAACCACTTAATTATTACATTACTTATTAATCACGTAATTTTACTTATTAATATTTTAACAAGATTTATTAATTACTTAATCTTTTTTTGTTAACCTCATGAGTCTCACAGTAAAACTAAATTATTTGTTAATCACATGTGCTATGTGAGTTTTGAGAATTAAGTAATCTTGCGATAAGTACATTGCAAGTCCGATTATCGGGGACACAATCGAAAGCAATGAACAGCGAGAACTGTTGGTGGCTTCGACAAAATGATGGGAATCACAAAGCGCGTGAACGATGCTACTGAGATTGAGGGAGTCGGTGCGGCACCCACGAAGGGCGAGACGGTGGAGAAGGCAAAGCATGTCCTCGACATTATGGTTCTTGGTGTAGGGTCTATGAATCTTCTTCGTCCAGTAAGTCCTATTGGAGATGCTCTCTTCTAGGTCTTCATTTTCAAATCTAGCATCAGGCTTCCACCGCTGGACAAATGAAGAGGTGCTTGCGAAACTGAATGCAAGAGAAACTGATATAGATTTTTAGGTGATTAGATGGAAGAGAGAGGAAGTAAATTTTGCGCGAGTTCTGCCGCTGATTCTTATGTTGGCAATGTGATAAGCTTGACCTCTAAGAGTGAGATCAGATATGAAGGCATTCAACAATGACCCAGCCATTTTTCAATCTCACTATCATCACCTAGTCTAGAGAAGATCAGACTGTTAGAGAGGGATGAGAATCGGAGGGGGAGAATGTACAGTGAAATTTGAGTGGCCCCATAGTGGCCCCATAAAGAAATTAACATATTTTAGTCAAATTTAATGATAGGTGTTAGATGCTTAGTTTTAAATAGTTAGTGAATTATTTTTCACTACTCAATAGTATAGGTTACACAATGTTCATTGAAAAATAATTTATGACTAAATTTATACTTTTATTCTTAAAACAATCATGTTTTTAGGCTATCAATATTCAAATCAAAAAAAAATTCTAATAACTTGTTATAATTGTTAAAAATGGTTCACTTCTTTAGATTTTTAGTTGAAGTTTTACTCGAGATTGCCTTAATGCAAAATCAACTCTACCTCAAGCACTCCACAAACTTTCTCTTGAAATCTAGACTTATCCTTGTTCTACCTATGAGCAGGCCTCATCTTGCACATGCTTAAATATAATCTTGTTTGGACCTGCCCGTGGGTAATGTAAACTAACATAGATCTAGATTTAGAGGATTTTAATGCAATTCAATCTAAATTCTTCCTTTGATTTTGGGTTATAACAAGTTATTGAATCTTTTTTTTTTATTTGAAAGTTAATGACCCAAAAATATTCCGCTAATCAAAAGTTTAGGACACAAATTATTCCTTCAAACAAACCTTTAGTCCAAAACTGCCCTTTAAGATTTAAATAATTGTCAATGTAGTCAAATGTTATAGCAGGGCGACATTGCATCATTGTTTAAATTTTTAGGATAATATTGCACTAATTAAAAGTTAATAATATCAATTACACCTAGCAAAAAACTTTCAAGGTAAATTTATCATATAACCTTGTATATAACTTGTCTGTAAAACAAGATATAAGAGAGAAGAGAGAGCATTATAGGGATGAGGTACGAAGCCCTCTTTGGATAAGCCTCAACAACAACTCTTATAGATAATTACTTTCCTCAATCATGGGCTCCAACTTGATTAAGTTTAGTGAACCTTACCGATAGGTTATGAAGAGATTAGATCTTAAAAAAAAATTAATCCTTCAATTAGGGTCATGTTAGACCTCATGATTTAAAGTACATGCATGTAGAGATATTTGTATTCTTCACGATTTGATGCCCTTGCGAGAAGGTCATGTCTTTTAGAAACTAAGACGATCTATATTGGCAAAAAAAAAAAAAAAACAGTTTTTAAACAACAAAGTACATAAAAATGGCATATAGCGCAATATTGAACGAATCCAAATTTACTAGAAATTGTTGACCCTGCGAATAAAAATAATGAAATCATTTTCAAACCACAAAGTACATAAAAATGACAGAAAGTATTCGAACCGTAAATTCGGAAAGTTGATCGCCGGAGATGGACGATGAGGAGGAAGAGCGTCTCCCTCCAGCTTGACGGTGGAATCTTCCGCCGTGATTGCCAACACCTCCGCCGCCTCTGAAACTCTTGGCTTCTACAGAAGTTGCCGACATTAAAGCTGTTACTATTAAAGCTAGAGCAAGAAATGTGGCTACCTTCCATTTCGCCAGCTTCTTCATCATCGCACTCTTTCTCGTAACAAAAAGGACTCAGAAGAATCGGAACCCCAGAAATCTTATCTGTTCAATATGTGGGAATGAAAAAGGAAAAGGAGCAATGGATATTCATGTGACAAGCCTCTAAAGTAAGCTTCTCTATTTCAACCGCATGTCTCAGAGTAGTTTGCACTCCCTTCACTCCTTTTTATAAATTATTTTCCATTACTTTATCAAAATCGAGAAAATGAAGGTAAATTACTGATATTGTTTCAAAACGTAAAAAATTTCTCAACTTTCCTTTAATAAAAGCATTATTTTTAAAAATATTTTCTCTCTTACGTAATTTTTTATTTTCTAGTCATTAAAAAGTGTGAAAAGATAAAATTAAAAGAAATTCATTAATGACCTATTTTTCGATCTTCTTTATAAGTTATTTATATCAATTTTATCAATACTACTATAAAAAAATATAAAGAATAAAAATATATAAAAATTAAATATACCCTTATATAGCAAATCCAAAAAGTAATGCTATGGTACTTTTTCTCTTTTATGAAGGTAATTTTAAAAATACTTTTTAAATATTATTTAAAAAATTACATTGTGACTTATAAATAAAATTAAATAAATCTTTTAAAAATGTGTCTTATTAATGAAACTAAAAGAAATACTTTTTAATGTAAAGTGACTTATAAAAAAATCATAAATTCTTTTTAAAAGGAGACTTATATATATAACCGAAAAGAGTATAAAATATAAAGGAACCAAAAAACTTTTAATCATGATGTTTTCTTAAGTTATCAATTTAATTTCTTAAATTTAATTTTTATCTATTTGATTATTTAAGCTTACCTTAGTTATTAATTTAGTCTTTATTATTTAAAGAAAATTAATATTATTAAAATTTACTAACATAGATAATGGAATACTAATGATAGTTATGTAGATGAATAAAAGATTAATTATTTAGATATAAAAAATAGAGTCAGATTTAAAAACTAAAAATAAAATACAACATGAAGCACTTTATTGATAAAAATTAAACCCATTTAAGTGTTAATTTGTTCGCATTTAATTATACATGCTTTCAAATCATCAACATATTTGATACATAGATTAATTTAATGGTTAATTTGTGCTTTAAAATTTAAAGAACTAACATAATAATTGAAAAAAAAATATAAGGAATCAAATTGACAAAAATTAAATTTAATGGATTAAATCAATAATTTAGACAACTTTATGAAATTAAAAGTTTCATTTTCTCATACAATCAAACAATTACTTTCGAATGTCAGCTTAAAAATTCAGACTAGAACTCATCTCATTTAATTATTGCGGCTTTGCTAAAAAAAAATAATAATAATAACTGCAGCTTCAGGTTTTGAGCAAAAAAATGCTCTGGCGTTCTATGCTAATTCTTTCAACATTGAAGCAAGTGCTCTGAACTTCTAACACCGTGCTAATTTTCTTGCTAGGTATTACAAAAAAAAAAAAAAAATTCCCTTGCTATGAAAGCTCCAAATTGTTGTTACTTTTATCATTCTTCATTCGGTCCTTTGGAAGAGTTGGCTAATGATGAAAGTTAACTGTCAAATCTTTGAATCCTGATCGTACTCACTCTAATTCAAAATATAAGCAATTTTTTCAAAAAAAACAATTTACAAACCAAAAAATTCTTATTTTTATAAAAATATATATTATTTTTTTATTCTTAATCTCAATTACTAATACATTTTATGATAAGTGAAAATTAAATTTACACAATGATCTCAGTTCATAAATCCAAGAGGTAAAATAGAAAAAAAAAATTAACATGTACCTAATTACTTATATTTTAAACCAAAATTAGTTGAGAGAGAATGTTTATATTTTGAACCAAAGGAAGTAAATTGTATTTTATTTGTTATTAATGAAGTTTTCATGTTCCCAGTACAAAAAATTATTGCAGCTTCTTAGCTGACGAATACAAGCATTTTACATCATGAAAAAAAAAAAAAAATCAAATAGTACAAAGTTCAAATGGAATAATCCTTGCTGCTTAAACTTGAATGATGCTTACGAAGAAATATACCTCTTCAAGTCTCCAGCATTGAGGTACAAATAACTATTCTTGTCAGAAAAAACTGATGATACAGGCACATGATTAAATCCAGAATATTGTCTGTTGATCTTTTCCCAGCATATATCATTGATGTACTTCAGTAATTGATGCTTCTGGACGAATGGCTGAGCTGCATATTCCTCAAACGGCATCCACTACAACACAGAATCATTTTAATATGTGCCCTTGCTTCTATTGTTCTTGCCCTTTCAAGGGATTTCAAATTCAAATTTATAATTTACACTCGCATCGATTTCAGCATAAAAAAGAATGGAAATTAAAGCATGGAATGTGTGTTAAAGAATAAGCATAAGGAGAGTTTCATTACAGGACAACTGATGAGACATTATATCAAATTTGGACCAAAGAATTCTAAAAACTCCCTGTAGAACCAAAGGACTTTGAAAATATGCTTTGAAGAGAAATGATCATAATGCCCTTTATTCATTATTTAAAGAAAAAAAATCCACCTTGCCGGAAACCCTACCACTGGCAATCAAACTAGCCCCCACCCCGCGAGGGTTGTCCAGCGGGGCTTCAGCTGTGGGACCACCACAATACCCCTTGGTGAACCAAAAGCATAATAACCACTAAACCAACGATGCTTCTTGGTTGTATAGCGCCAAATATAATATATAACATAACCCAAACTTCAAACCAAAACTACAAAATCTTATTAATAATGTCACTTGTGATTTCATTAATGTAACTTGTTAATTCAACAGTGAAACTTATTGATAATACCCTCTACATATTCAATTGTGGTGACTTGTCAAGACCCTAATTTTACTTATTAATTCACTAATGTTATTTATTAATTAAATAGCAAAACTTGTTAACACTATCCTTTGCATATTTAAGCTTGCTAACTTTTAACTAACTTTATTTGTTAATTTATTAATGCTTACTTGTTAATTCAACAGTGAAACTTGTTCACGGTGCCCTCTACATACTCAATTGTGGTGACTTGTTAAAACCCTAACTTAACTTATTATTTTACTACTGCTATTTGTTAATTATATAACTTAGCTTCAGCCCAAAAGTACATACATACCTGAGCAGCCTCTAATTCCACATCTTGGATTTGGATGTCGAAAGAAAGTGGCCGCATCATGCACACAAAGTACAGATCTGACTTTTCAAAGAATGACTCGTGACTTTGTCTGAAAATGAAAGGAAAAAAAAGCAATTCTTAGTTATCCAAGCTGGTGTGACTCTCGAGATAATAAATTGAAGAACAAGGGGTAGTTCCTCGCTTTCGAGTATCAAAACAGTAAAATGTACAATGACACGTAACAAATATGATGCAACTTGTTAAAAAACACGAACTTTTAATATTTTATGCCTCAATACTTTGTGCCAGTGCCATGTGATGCTTCCTTATCGTATCTATCCTTCTTAAAGGACCAACTGAAACACACGCAAATTTAAGATTTGCAAGATCACTATCTACAACTTAGAATAGAATTTTCAGTTGATAATTAATTATGAAATAGTTGAGGTTTGAGAATTATTTGAGTTCCATAGGATTTTATCTGCATAATATTGAACCAACCCTTTACATTAATCTCTGGCTCCCAAATTTTTACATCAACATAATGTTGTTGATGAACGTTGTGCTAGTGGCATGTCATGCTTCCTTATTGTATCTATGCTTCTTGGAGTACCCAGAAACATTGGCAAATTTAATACAAGCACGACCATCATCTATAACCTAAAATAGAACTTTCAGTTGACTATTAGTTATGAAATAGTTGAGATTTGAGAATTGTTAGAGCTCCGTAGGATTACATAACACTGATGGACAACCCTTCTCAAATCTTAGGCTCCCAATCCGAAGGGCGAGAAATAATAAGTTTTTACATAACATATAATTTTGATAAACCTCATACATCCACGCTAATTTACTAGTGTTTTAGCTCAAGGGCAAGAAATGATAGATTTTTACATAAACAGGCTACCTGAATGCTATAACCTCCAAAAATTCTGAATCAACCTGAAAATTTATCATCAAATAACTGATTTCAGGACAAGTCCACATTTAATGTTGACACAATAGAAAACTTACTCCTGTTTCTTCTTTGACCTCTCTCACTGCTGCTTCACAAATGTCTTCTCCCTGAATTAGTAATTGAAAGGGTGATGGATTATATGCTCAGCATAGCTTATAAGACTATAATTATTATTAGAAAGACAAAAGTAGAAACCTGATCAACAACTCCAGTAGGGAATTTCCAGACTCCAATTCCCCGAAGTGGACCACTTTTTTCTCGAACTACCAGGACCTAAGATCATATAACATAAGAGAATGAATCGTTAAAGTATATTAACAAATAACAATAGAATTTTATGAAGAACGCTTGGGTAAATTGCATCATAGGACTTGTGTCTTGTGTCTTAAAAAAATTATGCTCAATACTATTAGATTTTTTTTTTTTTTTTTGGAATACAAGGACATGGAAAACCCATGTAAAAGTTGAACAAAATCAAGCATGTCAGATTCCATAAGGGATCTGCATCCTGAGAGCAAATGATTATAAATAATACGATCAAGATTTTCCTGAGAGGCATGGTGAGCGAGCATGTCCGCGCATCTGTTTGCTTCCCTAAACGTGTGTTCGGAGGTAATGATCTAATTATTCATGATCAATTTTCTGCCTTTGTTGATAATACCAGAGAGAGAATGGTTCTCAAAGAAATTATGTTGGATAAGCGAAGTGCTTCCGCAGAATTAGAATATATGTTGATTTTATTGAACCGAGCATTCCAACAAAATTGAAGTCCTTCTAAAATGCCCAAAAGTTCTGCTGTGGTGCTTGGTTGATAACCAAGGTATTTAAAAAATTCCTTGATCCAATTGCCTTTATCGTCTTGTATGATTCCACCACAAGTTACAGCTCAAATGGAGTTGACAGCCCCGTCAATATCAAGGCAAATCCAACCTATTCTGGGGGTGTCCATCGTGCCTCTAACTTTTTGCAATTGCGACTAAGGAGATTAACTCTAGATTGAAGCCTTATGTCGTTGGAGATTTGCTAGGTACTAGAGAAAGCAATGTCAACATTCTGAATAGTTTCTCCAAAATAGATTTTTTTGCAACGCGTCTTCCAGATGTTCCAACAAACTTGAGTGAAAAGCCTCTGCCCATGTCTTTCTTGTGTTTAGATTTCCTGCCTTAACTTTCGCGTTCCAAGTTATCCAATCCTACACAGAAAGGGAGAAGAAAGTATTAAGTTTTAAAGGTTTCACTATTTTAATCCAAACAGTTCAAGCTTCTATGCAATCTCGCAGAATATGAATTGAGGAATCAAGAGAATTGCATACAAAAAAGCAAGTTCGTTGAAGAGGAGCACTCCCTTCAATATATGTAGATTTAAGTTGAAGTCTGTCCTAAGCATCCTTCCAAAGAAAGTACTTGATTTTTTCGTAAGCACGCCACTTCCAAATCCTTGCCCAAATGTCGGAATTGTTACGATCCTTTTGAGAAACCATAACCTTATAAGCAAATTTGACGGTGAAGTTGCCAGTAGAAGAAGGTCTTCAAACAATGACATCATCATCCCCAGAGGGATTGGGTGATCTAACCAACGCAATGAGTCTTATCACCTCAGGAGGGAGGTGACGATTCAAAAGGCTAAAATTGCATCCCTAGTGAAGTTGTGAAGATCAAAAACTCGAGCATGAAGGATGGGCTCTGCATTAGGGTTGGCGTATTTAACAAGAGGTTCTAGAAGAGGGGACCACTTACTGTACCAGAAAGAAGTTTAGTCTCCCTTATCAATTTTCCGACCGACATGCGTCATGAATTTATCCCAAACTTCGCAAATAGTATTCCAAGTGAAAGAGGAGGGGTTAGGTTTGTAGACCATAGGAATAGTGGGATTTATGCATTTGTATTTGTCATGAAGAATCTTGACCCAAAGCCGACTTGGTTGAGTCATAAGACCCTAGCAAAGTTTCACGATGAAGGTGATGTTTTGGATCTTAAGATTTTTTATGCCAAGACCCCCAACAGATTTTTTCGTAGTAATATAGTCCCAAGAAATAAGATGGGGTTTTTTGTGCCTATCAGGGGAGTCCCAGAGAAAATTTCTAGAATTTTTTCCCAATTCTACCAGGACATTGTTTGGCAACATGGTCTACATGACATAGCTAGGAATTGCCAAGAGGACAAAATTAATAAGGACAGTTTGAGGGGAGTTTTATGAAAGTTATATTACTATGAAGTTTAAGAAAAGTAATTGCAATTTCCCCAAATTTAGAAATAACTTTCCTAAAACTTGATTGTAACTTTAGACTTGGGATAATTACAATGTATAAGGTCTTTTAATGTAATTTTCCCAATATTCGGAGGTTTAAGACTACTTATTTTCTAGTGAACATTTTCAAATTTAATCATGCAGAAGCACATGTAGATTCACATCCACCTAGCATTAGGGGGAGCATAGGGAAAACAGATTTTTGAAGGAGGAAATTTAAATCAAATCCTTGAAGTTAGAGGATTAGAACATACATAAGATATTTTCTATTCACCCATTATCAGTCCAGATAGGTTGACACAGGGTTCCCAAGTTACATACATGGTATTCTTCTCCCAGAGTTATTTATAATCATTTCAGTACTGCCCCTTGAAAATGACCGCAATAATCAGAATGATTCTAAAACTTCAATCATAGTTAACCAGCATGCAGCACAAGGTGGAATCAATTTGCTGCAATCCAAACAACACTAGTCACATAGATTGGGTCACCTCCAATCAGATAGCTCACGATAAACAACTAACAAGGCATCACCAGCCCCAGAAATGGTCTCATCTAATGATACCAATATACCATCCATAGCATTAGTGACATCAGCAAGGGTATGTGGCTCTTTTACAACCAACCAAAGGAAGAGATGCATGGTGATTTTTCCCTTTCACTTTCTTAGAATTATCGAAGTTCTTGCCAGAATATAAAAGAATGAAAAGGGAAAGAGGACAAGAAAAGCACCTTTATAGATCATAAACAATCCTCCCACGTCTTTTTTTTTTTAAAAAAAAAACAACTAAACTAAGACATATTGCTGATTAACGATGACAGAGACACAATAGACATTGCATGTAACATTACCTCCACCTCTACTTTTGCCTAAATATGCCAATTCATCACTAGGATGGATTGTAACATTAAGTGCTTCTACAGAAGCCTTGACAACCTTTTATTTTTCTTCATGTAAGTTGGAGACATTAACATTTTAGCTTGACAAACAAACAATATTGATCAAAGGCTCACAACCGAGTTAAGTTAAAAGCCTAAACAAAAAATATATAATTAAAAGCTGAGAAATACCTCTTGTTTTCCATTCATCACAAATGCACCAACACCCACTCGATGTGTGGCGTTTGCTGGAATAGTATGTGCACTTTCAGGAATCCAGTAAACCAGCATTAGATATTTTGGTTCTGCATGGTGGTACCAGAAGCCTTCCTATACGGAAGTGCCAGAGAACCAATGGTTGATAAAACAAATTAGCACACAACAATCTAAGTGGAGCTAAAGATTTCACAAATCAAATAAACATCTCAAGAGTGAATTCACCTTAACTAGAGGTTCAACAAGATTGACCAGATCAATAGGTAATTTTATCCAAACACCCTTCTTGCCCTGAGAGATAAGGTTGATTCAATAATTCCATCAAATGTTTTACAGTACAATTTCTAAATTTCCGTAACATGAAGTACTGATAATGATAAGCCAAGAGAATAAAGCATGGATGCTACTCATGAAGTGCATGATTAAAGTTTGGTTGCTTATGCATGATAGGGTTATCCGTTTTTCTTTCTCTTTACAGTATTTTGTTAATATTTACTCTTAACATGCGTGTACAAACAAAAACAGCTACATTAAAATAGGTTTGTTGATGATCAGTGAGCACTAGTTGTATGATGCGATCCTAGGTGGCATCCTAGGCAGCATCCAACAGGACGTCCAAGTACTAAGAGGTATCCAACATGGCAACCAAATCCTAGGTGACACCTGAGATCATCAAGATGGCAGAAAATTCATCAAGTGTCCACTAGATTCATTGCAAGGTAGAAGGCCCAAATTCAAGCTCCAACAGGAGCCCCATTTCAATGAGGGCGAATGGTGCTATTTTAATTGGTTTTATTTTAAGTTCTAATGGGCTAAAATTTTAATTAGTAAGTCCACATCATTGGATTTCCTTAACATTTGATACCATTTATGATTATGATAAAAAGACACGGAAGGAGCTTGGCTAAGCAAGTCAGATCCCTCTCCTAACTAAAACATATTGTCATAATCATAGGGTTATTTTTCTGTAATTATGGATTATTATAAGCCATAAAATATTAAGGCTCCTCCCTCTTATATATATATTCATACTCAAAGAATGAATACATCATAGGTTTCAGAGCCAATTCCTACAATAATAAAATCAGAATAAAGTTAACTATGACATGGAATTAATATCAAAAAACTACCAGCTGTTTCCAGTGGGAAATTGAAGCTCTGAGAATTGAGATAAAAGTTGTAGGGTCCATAGGCTCATCCATTTCCACAATAACACCACCATAGTTGTCATTGGTTGATGTTAGAAGTTTAACCTGTTGCAATTCATCCCCTGCAGCCACTTGTGTGTTTGACATAGAACTTGTTGAGCCTGCCATGTGCCAGATAGGACAAGGGGTGGTCACTTTAATCCTGACTACAAGGTAATGTGAGAACAAGTTACATTCAACTCTATGCAGAAGAGTAATTTAGTTATAATAGTCATTCTAGACAAAGCTGAACAGTTTTAAATAGGTATTTTATTTAAGAGGAGAGGACAACCCGCTACACACATCGGCAACTAATCCTGATGGTTAAAAAAAGATGATTCTCTTGAGAGCTCTACCTCTCCAGAAGTAGATGCATTTTCAGATTCTCACATTAAAAATTAAGAATTAGAGTGAAGATCTCAAAAATAGATTAAATGTTGTGAAAGCTCGTACTATTGAGAGATAAAGCTCTCCATAGAATTACCATAACCTCATAAACTAGTAATACTAAACAGAATCTTTCATGCTTACATTGAAAATTTATGAATGCTTTCACAGAAGTCGTGATTTTAATATCAGGAAATCATGTTAGATGGAAAATCAAACACATCTTAATATGTTTGTTTCAAAAAAAAAAAAAAGCATGTTAATATGATTGACCATAGTAAATGCAAGCAGCAGCAAAAGTATCAATCAGGCAGCAGAGCTACAATCAGTTCAAGCTTACTGGGAAAGTATATATCTAATTGGACAAAAAATGATCAAATTCAAACATTACTTAAATTGAAGTTGAGACTATTTTATCTTCGGATTTGGAATGAATCAATATTTAATAGAAAGTGAAATAGGAAGATATATGCTTAGCAAAGGTGAACTGGATTAAATCGATCAATATATCACACCAGGGTAGAAAGAAACACAAAAAATCGTACAGGAGATATGATGTGTAAAACAAGTTAGCGAAGGAGCTATTAAAAATGTGAGAACAAGAATGTTAGAAGAAATAAGATTTTTTTCCAGTAAAACAAGTGTTCTTTTTTTTAAAATTAATAATAAAATATATCAACTTGTTAAATTTGTATTATGAAATCATACAGCAAAAACCTGAAAATTGGACTCTAAAGTTATCACCTTGGTAAAAAGTAAAGTGGGGAAAATGTCATGCAAAAGTGAGTGCTTCTGTTAAATGGCTAAAGCCAAAGAAATATCTAAACAAATAAGTGAGCGCCTAATGGGAAATGTCCACATAAGGTTCTCTTGGCAACTGACACAAAGAACAGAATGAACAGAAATGACAATGAAATAACTACATTTATGCATTTCATGATATTATTAGGAAAGAAACAAGTAATAACAATTTCAAATTGGGCCTACATCGATCTGTAACTACATTTATTTGTTCCATAGCTTGTTTCAGTACCTCCTGTAGCTTCTCTTCTTAATGGTCCAGGCAAAGATATCAAATGCTGACTTTTCACAAGATAATGAGGATTTCTGGTTCTTAAGAAGAGGAATGATCGCAGTGGCAGCAATCTGAGCATGTTATTTGATTGTGTGAATCGAATGCCAAATAGACTAAACCCTCATTTGCCAAACTTTCAGCTTCATCGTTACTTCATTCTTCAAATTTCTCATCACCTGTGTAAATAGTCCTTGGTGTTCTCAGTGGGTGACTAAATTCACCCCTTCAGCACTGTCAGGTTCAACAAATGAAAGGAGAGGGTTCTAAATTCACCCCTTCAGCACTGTCGGGTTCAACAAATGAAAGGAGAGGGTTCTAATATTCCCTTGTTTAGTTTTACAGGAAGGGAGAGATTTTTAATGATCCCTTGTTTGGGAATTTGGATTCGGTGACTGTAAATACTAAGTGCCAGTATCATCTGAGCCATTGGAATTCATGTCAATGGTTCAGATAAACTCACTCATTCATTAATCTAAAGTGAATATGAATTTAGATTAATGAACGAGTAAGTTTATCTGAATCGTTGACATGAAATTTAATGGTTTAGATGTGAGTGCCTGTAACTAAGTACAATCACCGAATCTAAATCCCTTATTTGGTTAAGGAAGGATGGGATGGAAGATAATAACTAATTTACCATTATAACCTTACATGTTAATTTAAAAAAAAAATGCTCATTGTATAAATTAAATTTACACCATAACCCAAATAGCATAATTTATGAAAATTCACTCCCATCCCAACATATTGTTAATACATGCATACGACGACGACGACGACGACGGCAATAACAATTTTTAACCCCCTTAGATATTTAATAATAAGGCAGAATTCCATCCAAGGACCTTGGATGGGACATATTTTCAAATCAGACCCAACACAATCTGAAATTTCGCTGCAGGATGTTGGGCCTAAATTGAAATAATATTGTAAAAAAAAAGACCAAAATACCCTTATTATAATATGTTGCAACGAAACAAATAACATAAGGAAATTAACAAGTAAAGTAAAATAGTTAACAAGTAATGTAATTGATTTTACAAGTTATGATAACAATTTAACAAGTAATGGATTTAACTCGTCACATGGACTTCACAAGTAAAGTTTAGAATCTAGCAAGTAATGTAAGGGACTGAACAAGTAAAGTTGAGGAATTAGTCTTCTTAATAATTAGTAATCATGTTATCTACAACGTATTGGATGTAATAAGTAATACAAGGGAATTGACAAGTAATTTAGCTGATTTAAATCACCACATGGACCTCTATTATTAATCAACTATATTATTTTGTAAATGCTTTGCTTTACTTGTTAATTCCCTTCTGTTCCTTGTTATACTGTAATATACTAAAGAATGATATTTTGGTAATTTTGTCTTAGAATTTTATTTCAATTTGGACCAAACATCCTGCAATGGGATTTCAAAATGTTTTGGGCCTGATTTGAAAATATGTCCCATCCATGATCCTTAGATGAAATTCTCCCTAATCATAAACATGGTAGACAAAGGCGATTGAGGTCTTACATTTAAGACTGATGGAAACTCCTCAGCTAGGTTTTACCTTTAGAAACGAGGAATAGTGCATGTCTCATCAGACCAACCCTAATACACAGATTTTTACTCTGAAACCATGGTTATATCTATTCAGACCAATCCACAGACAGTTCATCAGCTATTAGGGCCGGAATTTAAAAAGAAAAAAAGATTTTATCAGCCACAACATAAGGGACGACGCCCATAAAGCATGGGAAGGAGAACAATAATAAGCGATAACGGGCAGACAACAGTTTATCACAAGTTTACTTACAGCACATCTATAATGGAGAAAGAGAAAATCAACCACAGGGATGACACATAGGCAGCACAGAAAGCATAAAAACATGGGCCATAAAGGAGCGATAAGATCAATTTGTCTAGATATATACATAAAAGTCAGAGGAAAAGCAACGCACAAATCCATTTGTCTATTATAAACAAATGCAGCAAAATCACCGGCAGAGAAGAGGGAAACTCACCTGAAAGGAGAAGAGGCGACGGCGAGACGAGGTCTAGGTCACGCACAGACGCCGTAAAAGCTGGGCGAATGAAGCAGGTTCCCACTTTGCAAGCCGAACTAGTACTGTGGCAGCAGAGAATTCAGAATTTCCTTCGCGGAGAACAGTGGAAGCAGATTAGCAGATGCACGAATGATTTCCTCCACGAAGATGGGAGTCATTTTTATTTATTTATCTTCTTTTTTTTTTTCCGTTGGCTTTATTTTAATTTTTTTAGTGACAATGACAATGTAACACCTTTAAAATATGTAAATTATTTTCTAATTCTAAAGGACTTGTTTGGCATTTAAGTTTTTTGTGAAATAACATGTTGGTCCATATTGCCTCTCATTCTCACCGTCTCTCTCTCTCTCTTGTCCTCTTCCTACCCCACCATCTCTTTATTGCTAAACCAGACTGCTACACACTCTAGTTTGTTAGTCGTTACACTTCAAGATGAATCAACGTTGAAAGCAACTACCATAGCAAATGATAACTATGCAGTGTCCTCGCCAATGTCATTCCCGTTTGAATTTCAATTAAATATAATTAATTATAAAATTAATTAATTAAATAATAAATTTTAATCATAATTAATTAATTATAACGTAATTTATTTAAATATTTATGTTAATAATTTTTTTAAATATTCAAAATTTAAATTTTACTTAAAAAAAAAGAAAAGAGAGTTTTATTTTATTTTTATTAAATTTTGTGTTTTTTTGTGATTTTTTTCTTAAACCTTTGATATAATTTTTTCATATAACTTTGTAAAAAAAAAAAAAAACCACAAAAGCCGAGAAGCTGAACCTTGCAGCTTTGGGAAAAAAAAATCAAATTTTTCCCAAAAAATCAATTAAGCCAAGAAGTTAGTGTTTGGGTAAATTGCGGATTAATCGTTTTTTTTTCCTTAAAATCGATTAATCCCTTAATCTAAATAAAAATGGGGTCTCTCTATTTTCTTTTTCTCCATTTCCCTTCACTTCCCCCATCCTCACCGTTCATTAATTTTTTTATTTAAAAAAATTATTTAATAAAAAAATTTAAATGATGGAAATGGGGGAAGTGGAAGGAAAAGAAGGGAAAAAAATGAAGAGACCCCTGATCCTAATCTAAACAGTCAGGTTGTCCTAAACCTAAATAATATTTGATGTTTTGTCTTGTTTTTTATCCCTTTCTTTAAAGTCTCAAAGGATGATTCTCCCTTTCTCCCTCGTCCAAATGTTAATACTTTATTGATTTTGAAGCGTGGAAGCAATTGAAAAGTTATGCCATTTGTTCCCTCCCAAATTTCCAAATTCAATTGAATTCTCAAACGAAGTTGTTGTCTCATCCATATCAGAATTCATACTTTTAGAGTTTTTTTTAAATATTTTATTGCTTTTTTCAACAACAGTCCCATAGACTGCGACCGTGATCAAATGCCATCAAGTGATTTCAATGACGATGAGTGGTGGAAAAGCTACAATAAATATGAATTCAGGAGAGCTGAGTTGAGAAAAGGGTTGTGACAACTCATATGAGAAGCGTGTAAGAATTGCCAAGAGAAATGGCCCTCAACCTCAGCTTGCTCGACAGCCGTCGTATAAAGAAAATATTGGTCACATTGCTACCAAGTAATATTTAATCACTCGGCTTGCTTTCACGCTTCTTCAATGTATTGGGTATTTGATTTTATTCATTATTTACTACAAGTAAAATGTTTGTATTCAAAAGTAAATTGTCCTTTTTATTATTCAAGATGGTGGGGATGTGGTAGGAGATGGTGAGGGAGGAAGAGGACGAAAGAAATATGGAGAAAAAGGATGTAAGTGGTGGTGAGAATGTGAGAGGGAAGAGGGGCAAACATGTTATTTTACAAAAAAATATATATATATATATATATACACACACCAAACAAGTCGTCGAGACTAGAATATAATTATTGTATTTCACAGTGCCTATTTGTCATTTACATATTTTGAAAGTATTTCATTATTATTCTCTCTTTTTAATCTTTGTTTTATATTTTTTTTAATTAAAGGAATAGGTATGACAGTTACAAGTACAATCAAACTTGCCTCTCATGTATAAGGAAAGATTATATGCCACTAGACCTGGGGTGGCAATTTCGAATCAAGCGGAGTGTGTGTGTGGGGAAGCTTTCCTTTTGGGAGAGTGGAGTATGTGAGTTAAGCAAATATATATGTGTGCGCGCGCGCACCCCCCACTGGACCGGAAGGTTATTGACTCTAATTTCTTTAATATTAGGTGACCCATGCCATTGGTGTGAAAAAAAAAAAAAATAATTTTAAGTAAATAATAATCTTTTTGCTCAATATTATGAAGTATTTTAAGTGAATTATATCTTTTAACGAGTTAATTAATTATTTTTAAAATTATATAATTTTTTATATTTATCTTTATTTAATAGAGTATCTCAATTAAAAAAATTTTACTCCCTTTAGTTAAAAATATAAGCAATTTTTTTTAAAAAAATCTGCATAATAATAAAGTCTTTATTCTCATTAAAATATATATATTTTTTTCTTTTTATCCTTAGTTTTAACTGCCAATACATTTTATGATGAGCGAAAGATAAATTTATACAAAGCCTTAGATTAATAAATACAAGGGATAAAATGGGAGAAAATTTTTTACATGTACTAGGTGCTTATATTTTGAACTAATATTAGCTGAGTGAAAATACTTATATTTTGGATTAAAAAGAGTATTCATTATACCGTTAATTAAGATTTTTTTTAAAACTTCATTTATTGAACCTTGAAAAATAAAAAATATTTTATATTTTTTAAGATCTCACCTAAAAAAATGCATTATATTTTTTGGACGGAGGAATAACATTTAATAATTATTTGGAATTTAAAATGTAATTAAGTGAAATAAATTTTAAAATAAACTTTGTAATGCCAGCTATTGATGTTTATAAAGCAAGCACATACTAATTTCAAATTAAAGTTTATGAATATTAGAATAGAATAATATTTCCTATTAAATTTTAAATAAAATAATTTGTGATGCACATGATATTTTTATGTAATTTTTTTAATAATTATGATATAGTTAAGATCAATTCAAGATAAATTTAAAAATGATAAGCCAAAAATTAGTCTTATATTCATTTGAAAAAGTTTGAAAATAATTCCAATTAATTTAAGCCAAAATTTAATTTAGAGTAAATGAACAAATTACCCCCTGAATTTTAAGTTCAATAACATCATAGATTCTAAAACTTTTAAAATGAAGTCACCGATAAAAAAAATAATATGCAAGTCTTTTAATGGGATGTTGTTAATTGGCATTGTAAGCAAGGATCCATAATATGGAGGAGTGAAGGTTGTAGTTGCACAAATAAGGATAAACACTTGTTTTCTTTTTTTCTCTAGCTAATTGTTTGTAAGATTGAATTTCAAAAGGAAATGGAAATGATAATTAAATTGAGTAGTTAAAGATCTTCCTTTGTTTACTCCGAATATCCCATTGTTGGCGGAAGATGACAGCTGCTACTAACTAAAGATAAACAATATGTTCGTTGAGGTTTGTCACCATCAAAACTTAAGGTACAATTTGATGTACAAGTATTCTCAAAATAGAAGATGAGATGATGAAATTCTTGAATCACATCAACGAATTGACAAGAATTACCATTATGAAAAGGTGCATTACTCTTCTTCCAAATTAGTGAAATATGCTTGATGATATCAATCTGGTTATCTTTAAAAAGAGACGTTAGGACAATCATAAGATTTTGAAAATTATTCTTAAGTAACAAGTCATCAATTTTGACTGATAAAGTACCAAACCTTATTGCCTGGGAAAATGGGCAAGCAACAAAAATATGATTAATAGATTCTTCATCATTACATACCAAAAACACACTTGGTGTTGTCTTGCAAATGGTGATCCTTTAAAACACCACTTGCTAGAACAAACTTGGTAAATACCTTCCATGTAAGTAGAAGGAATTTCTTAGGTGGATCCAGTTTCCAGAAGAGTTTCCAAGGAAGAGGAAACATATTACCAAAAGAAATTTCTTGTACCCATGTTTGTAAGAAACCTTTTTAACAAGATAATTACCTGAATGGCCGCCTAGCCATGTTAGTTTTTCTTGTTGATCATGAGCATAAATTGGAGGGGTAAGAACCTGATGCAAACAAGTTACAAAATATAAAACCAGGCAATACAGTCGTTGTTCCATTTTATAGGTTGTCAAGGTACAAGGGAAGTAATAATAAAGTCGTAGGCTTTCTTAGGTCGCCATAATTCATTTCATGGACCAGGAATACTAGGATTCTAAAATGGATTGACGAGGCTGATTGTGATTTGTTGCCTATTGCCAACTTTTCATTTTAATTAGGAAAATTGACAATTAAAAACCTTATAAAAATATTAATGACAAATAATTAAAGATATAGCATTATTGAAATGTCATAGAAGAACCATGATCTTTATTTATCATTAAAAATAAATAAATATTAAAATAACTAATTGAATGTAACTTATGAAATTAAGTAAAGTTAGCTATGAATTTAGATAATGTTTCTTGTTAATAAATGAAAAATTAATTGCGAATAGATAGATAATTTTATAAATTTATATATCATCATTTATGAATTTAAAAATAGTCACTTATGAATTTTAAAAAGGTTAATGATGAATTTATAAAAGTTTAGTTGTAAATTAATTCATAGTCTCATGAATTCATGCATAACTTGTGATTCAAGAACAATCAGTAGTGAAATTAAAGAACGTTGCTTTTGAATATGTGGAACATCAATTGTGAATGAATATGAATACTCTTAATTGTAAATTAATAATTCAAGGGCCCTCTCATATTTTTGAATATACATTCACGATTGATTTTTCAGATATTTATAAGCAACTTCCCTAAAATTCACAAGTAATTCTCCTTAAATTCCTAAGTGATAATATATTCATGAAACTATATGTCCATTCTCAATTGACTTTCCATATATTCACAAATAATCCTCCTTAAATTTGTAACTAACTTTTCTTAAATGTATGAGTGTTGCTCACCGGAAGTGTACGGATCGTAGCAAGTAATATAATGAAAGTAAAGTATCGTTCCCTCGAGAATTTGTTCAAAAACAATAATCAAGCAAAAGACTAAATAAATTTGATCAAGTTAAGCTACACAAAATTAGGTGAAAATGATTTTGCAAATGAAATTAACTCTAGAAAATAAAGAAAAGTGAGTGATTCACAAACTTCCAACACAATTTAGGACCCAGGATTAATTGTCCCCCTTGCATTTCATAACACCAAAATTACCTCCTCTCATAAATGCTTTTAATGAAAATAAGTGCTAACTTAGGGTTCTAAAAATACTTGGACAAGCTCTCTCAAGTCAAGAACAAGTGTTTGTTTAAATTAATTACCCAATCTCTTGTTACAATTAATAACACTCAATTTTAAACACCAATCCTAATGTGGCTATGCAAGGCTAGCAAGTATATCTCTATCTTACTAGCAAAATTATCCATTCAACATGTAAATATCAAGTTCTTATACAATTTTAAGTTCTACACTCAACCTAGCCCTCTTAAGCATCAATTAAGTGAACCCAACATCTAAATGGTGGCCAATCAAGTAGAAGCATTAAGGAATGAGTAAAATAAACACATATATATCATTAATCACAAAAAAGAGGAGAAATATAGTGTTAATCCATACAAGGGTTCCAAATAATCCTAGAACAAAGGGTTTAGCTACTCATAATCATCCACAAGCTACAAATATACAAAATAAGTGGACTCATTTCAGATTACAAGAGAGGAAAGGGAAGAGGAATAGAAAAACTAAAGAAAATGAGCTGCAAATGTCTTCAAAGCTTCAATTTCTTGATCCCAACTCTTCCAATGCCCAAACCCTAGCACAACCAAGCTCCAAAAGTGTCTAAAAGTCTGAAGAATGCGTTCTGGGTCGAGCTCTCAGCTTATATGTATCCTAGCCAACTAATTTCTGATAAATGAAACGCAGCGTTTTTCTGACAGCGGTGAAAGTCGCGAACGAAAGTCACGACTTTGGGACGACTTTGGCAGTTTTGCACTATTTTTACAGCTAACGAAAATCATTCATTTTGCTCTTGATTTCTTCATCCAAAAGCCTTCCAAAGACATCCATAAAGCTCCAGAAATGCTTCTAATCAAAACTTCAATCAAAATAACATGAAATTAGGCTAAAAATATCAAATTAAAGCCAAGAACACAAGACCAAAATAAAATGCACATTTTCTTAAATTGGGCAATAAAAACATATACAATTAAACCAAAATGGATTAGAATCTAAGGAAAATGTGATAAAATAACATGAACTTCTAGAGGTTACCAATGAGCGACCTATTATTTCAAAAATTAAAAATATTTTAATTGCAAATAAAAACCATGATCCTTTTCTAGCATTTCAATATTTCAAGGTATTCAATTATCATTAATATCTTTACAAGGTTACTAATTGTCATTTTCCTCCATTAATTTGGAAGAGATTAAATTTGAGAACCAAGAATTTCTTTCCACATTCTAACAGTAGAAGGATCTTCCGCTTTAATGAATTTAAACTTTAAAATATCATGGAGAATGGAATCTTGAAAGGCATCTATCAATCTCCAAATCTATTTTGAAAGAAGGTCTTCATTCATCAAAAAAGTCAACATATTTAAAGAGAGTGTCCTTATTTGCATGGTGCATTCTTCTACTTTTTGAATCCATTTTCTAAAAGAAATTAATGCATTTAGCATGAATTTTCCTACAAATGTGTAAAAGTAATTTAACACAAGATAAGTGGTAGATGTTCGCAGCAAATAAGATTGATTTAACCAATGCGAGTCTTAAAGCTTGCAAAACAAGGTTAACTTTTCAAGAAGCTAAACTTTTATCAATGGTTTCAACCAATTAGTTGTAAATAGAGCTGATAAACAGGCGAGCTCAGCCTTTATGAGTGTGGTCCATATATGCTCAAACTTAAAAGCTCAATTGTCATAAAATTAGTCATTTCTTCAAGCCTAACCCTTATTAATCGAGCTCAAGGCTAGGCCTATAAGTCCTTTCTTATTTTAATTCTTTTAAATTTATTAAAATTTAATTTTTACATTATAATTTTACATATTCTTTCCTTAGAATACAAACCGCAGTGTTAAAAAAATTAAAAATAAGTAATAAATTTTAATTAAATATATACATATATTCTAAAGTCTAAATTTAATTCTAAAAGTAAAAATATTTTATTTTTAAATGTAAAACCAAAAGGGGGCCTAAACAGGATGCTTGAGCTTGAGCTTGTTTTTACAATACCAGGCTTAAAAGCTCGATTATATTAAAAATTATTTCCTTTTCAAACTTGAAACATTATAAAAAATGGATTTAAATGAGTGGCTTATCAAGTCTAACTCATATTCCTCTAATTGTAGAGTAAAGACTTGTCTTTTCCCAAATCTATGATATTTTCCTAATTTTTTTTCAGATTGAAACACCAAAAATTTTAGTCCAATTTTCTCTGTCAACTTTATTAACATTGGGTCTAAAGATATTAGAAGACTTCTTTGTGTTTATATTCTTTTTTTTTTATTGGATATTGTAACCTCTTGTTGGAAGCAATCTTATTCAAGTCATGAGTAGGATGGGTACTAAACCAAGTCCTCTCGTTGGATGATTGGTGATGAAAAAACATTAGTAGCCAATATATAAATATAAGAAGATAATAGATCACCTTACCTGACATCTCGAGGAGAGATTAACCCTGTAATAGAGCTGTTAAAAAGAATCTGACAGCTAACAGTAGAAATGCACTGATATATGAGATTAATCCACTTTAGCGGAAAGCTCATCTTACTCATGACTCTAGTAATGGAATTCCAGGAGATATAATCAAAACCTTATTATGAAGATTCGAATTTTGCTTCCTTTGGTAATGAGAGTAATGAAAGTTTTATTAATTGACTTTAGGATGAATTCAGTCTCTAAAATATGATGAACCATACTAGAATTATCAAATCCAACAAGATGCCAATGCTCCTGAATGTCTTTGGGAAGACTAAATATTTTTCTACTTTCTATATTATGTATTACCTATTAAATATATGGAAAGGCAATCTTAACGCTTGATTATTATGAAACCAGCTCTCATCAAATACAAGTACACCAGATTCTTAACTTTTCAAAGAAGTGCACACAAATGAATACACATAACTTCATCATCGTGCCAGTTGTTTTTATTTTGTAACTGATAGTTGTTCCGAGAACTTTGTAAAGTTAACATGCCAGACATGATGAAGCAATGTGTTTTCATTTGCATGCACTTCTTTATTGTGTCAATTTAGGATATCAAATACTTCTAAACAAATAGTTGAAGGGTAAAATTATGTTTTACATAACATCTTAAGTTTTAAATTTGAAATCTAATTGCTAATTAAAAAGAAAATTAATAAATTAATTAAATTAATTATATTTAGGGATTGTTAATTGACATTTTTCATTATTGAATAGCTTGAAGATCGAGTTAGAGTAAAAGTTAGATTAAATATATTGGATTCAAGTGTGTGTGTTAAGTGAGTTTTGACTTACTATACCACGAACTAGAGCATGACGCAATGTGTTATATAGTGTATTGGTAGAAAAATTTAACAAATAAATTGTGATCTAGTTCAAAAATCAGAAGAAGAGCTTGAGATTTAGAGAGAGCATGAAGAAAAAAATGCCATTCCTCTATTACGGCTTGAAGGTTTCAGTACTTGTGTAATAATCAAGTTTGAGTAAATAATAAAGTCAAGGAAATTAATTTATTATTTTTTGGGGAGAGATTTAACGAGGTGGATTAGTGACCTAGTGGAAATTCCGACGTGAACCCATGTACAAAGTTCGAATCTTCTAGGGGCAAGAGGCGTATTTCAATTTTTGGTGACCTTATGAAATTACCTTTCTGTCTTTAATAATAATAATAATTAATTAAAATTATAACATAAAATGTGCGGCAGATTTTTTTTTTTTTTGGCCCCTCTACCTGGCCATTCCTTTTCCATTTTCGATTATGTAATCGGTGGGGTGGGGGGACGATAAGGCCAGCCATCGTTTCTCCGTTCATTTTGTCAGTCATCGACGACCTTGTGTGTCTATCGCCGTCATGGGAGTTTGCGTGGTCTACAGCCTTTTTCTTTGGTTCACATCGTCGGTCCTCTCTTCTTCCTTCCCGTTTGTTGCAGCGATCAAAAACTTCCTCCTCTTCTCATTGCTTCTTGTCGCTACTGTATAGGGTAAGTGAGAAAGAGCTTCAAATGCTTCCTCCATGTCTCCTTTACTCTTTGGTAAGTTCAAATCTCATCCTTTCCCTTCATTGCAACGGATTTGTTGAGTGGGTAGTAATAAATTGTAATTCTTCCTCTTTGTCCCCTTGTTGTGTGAATGAGAGAGTAGATAGGATCCAGTAAAGCTAAAACTTAAGTTTAAGAGCATTTTTTTTTATATAGGTTATTTCACTTATGTATTTGTTATCATAAGGAAAAGAATTTAAAGTTCATTTCTTTAGGTTTAAGTTGATTTCTGATGGAGAGTTTGATTTGTACAGTATAATATTAATATTGAAACTGTTGGGGTAAGAGAGATTGATATTGGAATTATTGGGGCAAGAGATTGAAGGGTAAAAGGCTTAATTGATTAATTTGGAAATTTATGCATGCTAGTTGTTTGTAAAAAAGTCTAAAAGAGAATTTTATTCTAATAATACAATTAGTTTGGCTAAAAATAAAATGGAGAATTTATCTCACTTTATATGATTGCTTGTAGTTTTACTTATTAGTAAATAGTTATAAATTATTGTGGTTATTGGGATTCCATCTTAATCTTTGATTATTATTTTTCAAGTTTAAAGGCCAAGAGAGAGTTAAGCAAAGAGTAGTCGGACTACTGTCATAATGCCTTGTTATTTTTGTTTTGTGTAAATGAATATGTATATTTATTGTAAGTAGCAAAATATGAATGCACATACTTTTTGGATTGCATTTGTATGATTTGCATCTATGTGTTGTATTTTAGCGTGGGATGTATGATGTTGTGATAATTGTAGTAAGTGGTTGAAATACTAGTGCAAGTGCATGTTTAATATTGATTTGATATAAGTATTTATGAGTTGCACTTGTATAGTATGTGAATCTTCTATGATATTTTAGCCTAGAGTGAATGCTTGGTGGAACATTGTGGTGAAAGGCTAAGATACAGGTACAGGTACATGTCAACAAATGTCAACATATAATACTCCCTTCCATCCTTATTATAAAAAACTTTTAATTATTTCACGCATTGTAAAAAAGTTAATTTTTTTTATATCATAAAAAAGTGAGATATACTTTTATTTTTAACTTTAGCTTTAAATGATAATATAACTACATTAAATACCTTTATGTTAATCAAGAAGGAATAAAATTGAAAAAAGATGATGTAATTATTAAAAGGTGTCCTATATGTTGGATTAAAAATTACTCCTAAAAAGTATCTTATAAATAGAACCGGAGGGGGTATGTGATAAGATATAATGATTTGGCCAAGTAATGAATTATATGATGAATTTCACAAATTACCCAATTTTATGTGTAGTTGAGGGTCTTGTGTAGCCAAATTTTGAATGTGATGTGCTATTATGTATTTGATTATTCAATCAAGTATTTTCACTCCATTAGTCTTGGTTTGAGCCCTACCTTAGGTTAATAGCATAATATTTTGGGTGTGGACTCTTGGATGCAGGAAAATGGTTTTAAAATTGATGTTCGATATTTAAGTGTTCAATTTTCAAATGTGATAACAAATTGAAATGAAACTTATCTCATTAGTTAGATTATTGAATGAACTTCATGTGGGTACTTGAATTACTTCAATTGAATGTTGGATATAAAAATGATGTTCACTCGATGAGTTATCATGATAGTTTTATATGTATTGCGACGCATGGTATAAAGCTGGAGGTTGGCTTCCTATGCCACATGTTAAGCCATATAGGACACAAGCCACGACAAACATGCGAAAATGGGTGGAAATGATTTTTTTGCCCTTGTTTTCTATGTGTTTCATTTCTATATAATTCCATGATTTTGATACATTTAAAAACTTATTAATTTGAGCTCAAATTAGCAATTTGAAGGGTTTTGGAATCTTAAATATTTTGAAGCTTTATAAACTTGTTTCTGAACCTTTATTGTTTGAGGTAAGCTTGGGAGTTTAATAGCTTCTAATTAGCATCGTGTGATGAAATTGTAGTTATATGTTGATAATTTCAAAATAGACATTACACTTCAATCCTAAATAAATTGATACTATCCTTAATATCACATTAAAAAAAAACAGTGTATACAAAAAAATAATTGTCGGCAAATTATAAAAAAAAATTTAAAAATAATGCACCATCATATGAAATCTGTATAGCACTTAAATAGTGATGAGATTTCAAATTAACAACGGAGTGAGATATTAAGGGAAAAAAATATATACATATTTTTACCAACAAGGATAGTACATACATTGAGAAAATATTATATACATATGTATTATTTGGTACAAACACATCTAACATAAGGGATCTAAGTGCGAACATGTCTTAATAAGAACAATAGTACAATAATCACCTCTATGCCTATATGACAAAAACTCCTAGTTAATCTTCATGATTGAGCCCATTTCTCTCTTCAATTCTCTTCAATAATTGCTGGAGGCAAGATGCAACATTTTTGGTTTCTGTTAACATATCACCAAGCCCAACTTTTGAGCCATAAGTATATCTACGTGCAATCTTTGAACCGTGAGATTTGTTTTGATTCAATCATCTAAACTCTCCTTTTCTGTATATAAAAACAGAAAAAAGGACAAAATGTGATTCACTAGTAATTGCTCATGAATTACAAGTATCTTTCCACCACTGGCGGCTAATAGGAGAGACTCAAGGACATTTGATTAGCTGAAAACATGATGTTTCCTGCTTTTCCCCCCGCCCTTGTTTTGCAGAACAAAAGGTAACAAAACATCAAAAAGATGTTCTGGTTGTCTAATTCTTCAAAACAACTTCTAATTTTTTTTTTTATTTTTCAAAACAGATAACAGGAAACACATTTTCAAACTTAAGGAAGAAGGGATATATTATGATCCAAAAGAGAAATTTTTAAGTAAACTCAAGTTATAACAAATTTGACAAGTTAGAATATGTAAGGCTGCCCTAAAAGTAAGCATATATTCATCAGTATTGATGGAGTCTACTGATTATTTACAGAACAAGTTTGCCTAAGAATTTCTCATGATTGAAGAACAAAAACTCTGCCATCAAGTCACTTGCCACCAAAAGAAGGGAAGTAATATCTAGTAGGGTCAGATCAGACATTTCCTAGTAAAAGTTCTGTCTAACAGAGAAGTTAGCGTTGTCGTAATACTAACCTTGAAACTAAGTCAAGTTCTGTTGAAGAATGAGGAAAACATTTGTGGGTTGTAGTAATACAAGCGACACAATGATTTGTGCGTTATCTCGATGAAAATTCCTTCTCAATCACACCGAAGGTCAACTTCAAACGTTCTTGCAGACCTCTCAAGACGCTCTTTGAAATCTTTTTATGATGCTTTGAACTTTTTAGCCATTCAATTCCAAAGTAAACATGTACTCTGCAAGTCTTTTTTGCAGGTAAATCTTCAACTTGGTAACGAAGATGTAGCTGTGAAAATTTAGATATCAGGAAGGTAGATATGCATAGAAAATGATGAAAAGAAACAAAAGTTGGCCTACTCACATTGAAGTATTCACCAAGAGGAACGCCATGAAGATTCATAACCTCTTCCAAAAGCCAACCTTTTCCATCTGGAAGACTAGATCGTTGTTGAGTACTTGTTACCTCACCTTTGAAACGTGTATTACTTTTATCAAATTTGTAATATAGTGCCCTTTCATAGTTGTCATTATTCTCTGACACCCAAGGTGTGAAAGAATAATTAACACAACCGGATTTTTCCATGAACCGGCGATCCAAATCTCCTCCATTAAATAACTCCATAAAGAAGCTGGTCTAAATTAACCAAAAGGATATGGTCAGATAATAACATTTGAAAAGTCTTCTATTGAAAACCATGAAAGGAACCAATGAGGCGCACAATTATGATGATATGCAGAACATGGACAGATTAATATTTGCTATATCAAGCGTGTGTCTACTCTCTCTGGGTTAGCTTAACTGGTAAGAAGAGATAGTATCTTTCCTTTGCTATTTAGAGAGAGAGAGAGAGAGAGATTACAGGAACTGGGAGATTAGAACAATAAACCTCAGACATGTTAACTTCATCAAGGTCAACGAAAGACCCATTCTCTTCACTTGCAAGGCATTTGCCTTCCGAGTCATCTTCAACCATTTGATCTTTCTGTTCAGGACTGAATGATCTGGTCTTCCAAACAGCCATGATAGTCCTATGCCAGCACCGAAACAGTTTTTAGTAACATAGCATATCTGATACTTATATGTCGTAGTCCATCTATGTTACCATTTCAGATAATATCTTGCAAATATGATTATCACATTTCACACCATACTAGCACACATAACTAAAAATCTTGGAAGAAGTTTGATGCAGAGTTCAAGAACAAGGTAGTGATGGCTGATAAATACGAGTTAATGCGTATAGAAACATATACATACATATACATATTCGAGTGGAAAGAAGCATTGTTCCATACAAATGAACCTTTCCCATGAAAATAAGTACTGAATCACATACTGGATAATAATTGTAGAATAAAAAACACCCAAAACAACATGCAATTGTTTTCATACTTTGATCTAATTTTGTTAAATTATTATTGGATATAAATTTATTTGTCAACTAAGTTTACAAAACCTCATGTGGTTAAAGGACTTGCACAACTGTCTTGTATATTAACAATGGAAGATTTTAATGATAAATGTCAATGCTACATAAATTCAATCTTAGAATCAGCTCAATGGTTTGAGATTAACACAATAAGGAAATAGACAATGATGAAGAACATTTACATATGTTGATATAAGCCATAGTAGATGCGCATAAACAATTGATAAAACCATCCAAGAGAATAGAGTTTCATTGAAGTTGCAAAGAAATATATGTAAGAAACAACTTCATACAGCATTCATAAATTCTATCCCATCTACCTGTAAGCAACATTAAAAGATACAAACGATTGGAAATAGAACTTTAGCCTGCCTTCTTCATCTTGTGATTTTGCACAATGCCTTGCATCCATGCCTCTGCCGGGTTGGAGAGTTATGGAAATTATTGGACTCCCCATTGAAGCAAACGTGGGGCGAATGACCTGAATGTCTTCAATGTCATCCCAAAGCAAGAAGAACGTAGTTTTGCGTCCAAATATATTTGCATGGAATCCAATAATTCTAGCCGAAAGAAAAAGCCGACCCTGCATAAAAAATGACAACATTGGTGAATGCACATGTTAGTCATTAAAAATAACCAAACGCATTGTCCATCAATGCTTTTGTCAAGAGGCTTAGGGATGACAAAATAATTAACTTGTAAAAAAAAAAGGTTACATCTAAGGATTGATTTGCGCATTTTTTTCAATTTCAGAAACTAAAGTTAAGTAGACCTACAAGTATGGGGCCCAATAATTAACTTACTCGACGATAAGTCATGCCTTTTAACTTCAAAATTCAAATAAACTACAAAACGAACCTGCATGGGCATTTTTCTTCTCAAATAGCAGGCAAAATCATTGATTAGAAATTCTTCATGCGGAAGCCCAAAGAGTTTCTGAAAGGCTGAATTTGTCTGAGGAGATCGCAAATTAATCTACAAGTTTTCCGAGAGGAAAAAAGATAAGCCGAAATGAATATTGCAAATAAATGAAGACAAACAAATGGCTAACACATACACACACAGCGAGACTTGGACACACATAGTTGCGTACCTTCTTTCCCACTTCTTTCTCCATTTTACTTATATATTGTTTTATAACACTACCACCTCTAGTGTTGTCTAAGAAAATTCTCAAGTGCAGCTTCGACTGACTTGCCAAAGCGAACTTTCCTTCAAGAGGAACCCATATATCAGCAAGGTCTGAGATGTTTGTTTTCAGAAAATTGATTTTAGCTTGTCCTACAGATGCATTTTCATCAAAAGGTCCGTCAAAATCAAAAACTTCCACATTGAGCACAGATGGAGGGTCTTCCATCGCATCGAATTCAAATACTTCTGCAAACATAGGTATCTTTTGTTAAAAGGGGTGAGGGGAGAAAGAAACTATAACATACATTGCAAGGACGAGTCTTAACTTATAAGCACAACCGATGGATTATGAAATAATTAACAACATAATATATTCACCATTCCATATAGGATCAGAGTTCTGAAACTTGGTGGAGCTGGTTCTAGTTTTTCCATTGCAAGAAAAAACCACATATGGATCTGAGATTCCACTTGAATTGACAGAAGCTATACTGCTTCCTTCAATCAAGGCAACAGTTAGTAGCCAACCATCTCCTTGTGCTTTAATTCCATGATCACTACCTAATATTGAACAAAATATCAAAATAAGTAAAGAAGAAATCCATTGAATCAAGCCAAAAAAAAAAAAAAAACACTAAACACAAAATTGAAGACGTTAGCTATCCCCATAAAGGAATCATTTGATCAATGGGATAGGAAAATAAAAAAGCCAAATCAACAAAAAGGAATAGAGTGTTTACCATTAGTTTTTAGGAGGGATTTTAGGTTTTTTTTGGGGGGGGGGGGTTTAAAGGCTTCTTGAAATTTCTAAGCTTGGCTTTCATTTGGGCTCTAACTCTACACCCTACCAAGTAGGATTCATTCAAAGGAACATTATCAGGCTCATAAGCAATAGGTTAGACACCAAATATTGCTTTTAGATTTCAAAAGACTAGTTATTTTCCCATATTTGAAAAACAACAGGCTTGCTTGGATAACTTCTATTTACCAGGTTTGGTGCATTTTTCTGGAATGTCTCACTTCATGAGTCTTGATCATAGGTTCTAAAGGGCCTTTATTTAGACAGGATGACAGAACAATTAGAACGTTCTGTTTAGTTAATGTGTTTGGCTCTTTAGTTTAGTATGTTTTATGTTGGTTGATGGTGATTTCTACCTCTTTTATATTATATTGAATTTGTTTATTAATTATTAACAAAAATAGTCACAAAAATGTAGCATTTGCACTCCGACACCAAGATGAAATAATTAATAAAATCAAGGTAGTTACAGAATTAATATATGATAAGCAAGAAAGACCAAAAAAAAAAACCAAACAAGAAAAGAGCAAATAAGAAAATACCATTTTGTCTTCTGGCTCGCATGAAGCGTGAAATTAAACCCAGTAGTTTTTCACCTTGAAGAACCAATATAGCACAAGAAACAAATTCACCAATTGAATCTGGCAAGTCAACCCCAAGAACCTCAAGCCCTTGAACTATGCTAGGTGCAGCCATCCAAATGTGGACCAGCACATACAGTCCAATTATAACTGTTGTCACTACGGTGAAATTTGCAAGATACTGCACTGCCAGCTCCCGATCTGATTGTTTCTCTGCTTGCAGTGATGCCAATATTTGTTCCTTACTAGAACCAAGGTCCTTTGAATCAACAGGTTTAACAGTTTCACATAACAAGCAAGCATACTGGTTAAAGCTTTCCTTCATCCCTTGGCGAGCCCCATTTTCTATCATTCCTTTCATCATGGTACTCTGCACAAAATTCAACCGCCATGATATCAATAGGCGTGAACATTGTTCTTCTGATGGTAACTCAGGTCCAGGAGTAATCACATAGAGTAATTCTGCCCTAAAGGTGTTCCCATACATAACATCTGGAGTGCTAACATTGGCGAAAATAGCAAAATTCTTTCTATCAGCTTTTAGATATGTTTGTTCTTCATAGGCTTTGACAGCTTTAACTAATTTAGTGGCAGCCTTGACATAAGTCAGTGATCTTTTCAATGAGTATTCGGTACCATCATTGTCAAACTTCCAAGGTCCTATTTGTAATTCTGTAGTACCCTGTAAATCTGCCAATGACTTGGGGAAACTCGAATCAGGTGAAAAAAGTAGCGTGTTCAAGTCCTCTGGTGCTATGATATATAGTTGATCTATAAGCACTCCTCCTGGTAAATTGCTTGGAATTTCAGTCCCATTGTCTAATGACTGCATTTTTCTCACAACTTCTTCAAACGTCTCATTATTACAGAACTGATCCTCAATTTTGATGTCATCAATTCCAGCTTTAATAATTTCAGCTTGCTCTGAGTCATTGCTTCTCATGGATAATGAAGACATATCAGTACTACTTTTATTAAAAATTTGAGCTATGCGGCCAGCAAGTGTTTTTTGTGATTTTTCATCTTTAGATGATGTGATCTCTTCATATCTCAAAGGAGAAGATGAAGCTGAACAGCTCGAGAAAGACCTTAAAGGTGATTCAATAAATGCATCAGAACATTTCCTTGAATGTGAAAATTGGTCACAATTGGGATTTGACTCCTCCAAAGCATCAGTCTTGTCAGTTAAGTAGATACTTAAGCGAATTTCTCCTATTCCAATAAAGCACATGCATTGTTACATCCTCAAAGCAAAATGGACACAACTTTCCCAGCGGCAAGCATAATGATTTAATTTACTTAGTGTTATGAATCTAATAAATACATCTTGAAATCCATGTAATAACTGCATGAACTTGGTTTAATCATTAATCAAACATGACATTTGAATAAGAAAGGAAAAGAAAAACTTGGAGGCATATATGTTAGAAACAAGAAACCATTTGGTACGTGGTACAAGAATTTTGTTTCTTGTACCTTCTCCCTTATGTGCAAAGGTTGGTAGTTTAACGTGGCTAATCTTTAATATAACGTAAAAGAAATTTCCTTAAAATTAAACGCAATTACAGGCACGCCGTTTACACCATGATCAATAGTTTA